CGCGGTCTGCAGAGACGCTGGGGCGCTCGCTGGATTTGGCTGGAAGGGGAGACACACAGTCTGGGTGTCACTCAGGCGTCTGTTGTTTCTAATTCGTGGTCAGCACACACGGGAGACGTGCTCTCGTCAGCACGTCGACTTTACATGCTTCCCAGTGAAGACGACCGTCAGGGCGATTTCCGCACAAGGAAGCACAGGACGTGGTGAACAACCTTCTGTGTCCATCAGGCAACATCCTCACACGCAGGGCGACCAGGCTGCCCGTGGCCGAGTGCGTGTGCCGAGGGCCATTCCACAGCCACCCAGACCCGGCCAGGGCTCACCAGGCCCCACTCCTTCTGATGCCACGTCGGCACTGACCCCACCCCATGGAGTGCCGTGAGGACACAGCGCTGGGAGTTCTGCTGGGCATTTTACAGGATGACAACCCCACTCGAACCAGGGCCGCTTGCACCCGGGGCCCGCTCACACCGGGCCCGCTTGCACTGGGGCCCCGCTCGCACTGGGGGCCCACTCGCACCCGGGACCTGGTCACATCCGGGGCTCGGCCCTTACACAGGACCCGAGCTTAGCACTGCCACCCCAGGTTCCTGCTTTGCTTTTCCCCGGGCACCTTTAAAAATAACCACTGAGACCTGAGCCTGCACAACGCTCGTGACCTCCCCCCAGACGCCTCTCCCGCTCTGTCTCCTGCTCCGTGACCTGGGGTGGGGCTGCCTTTCCAGGCTCACGGCCCCCATTTCTGGGACTGTGAGTGATACACCTGCAGACTTCTTTGTGTGAGGCTACTGAAACTGCGCCTCCGTCAGAACGCCCCAGGTCTCTCACTCCCCAACGTGGGAGCCCAGCTGCCGAGGGGGCTGCTGCTGACCCGTGGGGGCCGAGCCTCCTCCTCAGCAGGTCATCTGTGTGCCCTGCGTTCACCCTCCAGCTGCAGGATGAGCGCTGTCGCCCCGAGCCGCAGAGAACGGGGCGCGAGTACTCGGCGCCAATAGCCACCACACGGGTCAGCCTGGTCAGAGATGTTTCTAACGTGTGAGACAGCGCCGCACGGCTCCACCGGGAAGAGGGGCTGCGTGTGGCCGGCAGGCAGCGCCCACACGACGGGCAAACGGCCAGCGGCAGGTGTTTGCAGAAAGGTCAGTGGGAGCGTGGCTGCCTCAGGGCCGCCTCCCCACCTCATCCCTCTGAGGGGTCAGGGCACCCCCGCCACGCCCCTGAAGGCAGCTGGCTGCGAGCGAGGGAGGCCTCGGTGCCTGTTGATAAATGTTCTCCCGTTCCTCTCGCTCTGCAGGTGGCGGCTGCACAGGCGGCCTTGGTGTTGGCCCCGAGGTCACCGTGCCGCGACCAGGGTGCAGGGTTACATCGCCGGCCAGTGCCGCCTGCCTGGGGGGAGCTGAAGGGGGAGCTGCCTCCTGTGGGGACTGAGCGGGGCTGACAAGCGCTGGACCCAAAGTTTCCCTTCGGTTTGTGGTCAGAACACCGTTCGTCTCCCCTCGAATCAGACCCGCCCAGCTGGCTCCACAGTCCGCTCGCTGGCTGCGTCTCGCACTGGAGTGTTGAGTCCTGTGTCCCAACGGCACCTACTGCATCAGCAAACACGACGCACAGGGCTTGTCCTTCAGCGGCTCGAGGCGATCCCACAGGGGGGGCCCCCGGGCTTCCGAGTGCACCCGGACCAGCGCTGGGGTTTGGCTGCCAGGCCCTGGCTAGTGAGGTTGGCCCTGTGCCCGGGGACCATCTCATCACACTCCGGGTGAGTGGGAGGAGCCCGATTCCTTACCTCCCGGACGTGGCTGTCCACACGCCTGGGGCCACCCTCCCCCCTGGGACCGTCCCACCAGTGTCAGCCCTCAGCACCCCTATCCCGGCATGCTCCTCGGCCGAGCAGGGCCGACAGCCCGCCGCAGCCCCTGCCTGAATGAAAGCCCGCGGACGGCACGTGCTGCCCTCAGCGGCCTCCTCCAAGTTCCCACAACACTGGGTGCCCGCCCGCTGCCCAGCCGTGACCGGCCCTACTTTTCTTCTGAGGCTTCCCGTGCCCCTGATTTCTAGCCGCTCGCCCTCCCGGGAGACGGTCTCTAACCCTCTCCCTCCGCTCATGTCAGCGCACGAGGGCGGTGTCTCAGGGCAGCTTCTGGCCCCGCCGGCCGTGTTCTCCTCTCCCCGCCAGGTCCCGCGGGAGGGTCTCATGTCCAGTCCGCGCCTCCTTCTCGCCCCTCGGGGCCCTGCCGCACTCTGACTTCGACCCATCTTGCTTCGGCTGCTCCAGCAAAGGTTCTCAAAGAAATACCCTAAGCCCTGGCTGGTTGTGCAGTGGTGAGAGCGCCAGCTCTCAGACCACGGGGTCTCAGGTCCGATTCCCAGGCAGAGGCTTGTACCTGGGTTGCAAGTCCACTTCCTGGCCCCTGTCCAGTGCATGCGGCAGGCAACCAGTCCGTGTGTCTCTCACATCGATGTTTCTCTCTCCCTCCCTCCTTTCCACTCTCTCTACAAGTCAGTGGAAAAACTATCCTTGGGTGAAGATTAACAAAAAAAATCAAAAAAGCACCTTTAAGAGCATGATTAGCATCATGTTCCTGCCCCCACACTCCCAGATCCCAGATCCGGCTGCCCCCACACTCCCGGATCCCAGATCCGGCTGCCCCCACACTCCCGGATCCCAGATCCGGCTGCCCCCACACTCCCGGATCCCAGAACCCGCTGCCCCCACACTCCCAGATCCCAGATCCGGCTGCCCCCACACTCCCGGATCCCAGAACCCGCTGCCCCCACACTCCCAGATCCCAGATCCGGCTGCCCCCACACCACTCCCGGATAGATCCGGCTGCCCCCACACTCCCGGATCCCAGAACCCGCTGCCCCCACACTCCCAGATCCCAGATCCGGCTGCCCCCACCCTCCCGGAATCGGCTGCAGGGGTTCTGCTGTGGACAGAGAGCCCCAGTCAGTTGCCCCGACCTTCGCCAGAGCGAGGAGTGCAGACACCTGCCCCAGCTCAGCAGACGGGCGCCCTAACCTGTGCCACAGAACTGCCACGCGCCACGTGCCTCCCGAGCTGACGCCCACAGAACAGCGGGAGGTCTCCCCTCAGCCCTCAAGGCAGGGAAACAACTTGGGTTCCCGAACTCCCCACGCGGTCAGTTCCAAATCACAGCTCCCACTCCCACACCCTGAGCGCAGCCCACGCCGTGAGCCTGGACGGCAGGCAGAGCCCGAAGAGGGCGGGTCCTTCCCGCAGACCAGGCCTTTCCCAGCGCCTCCGGGGGTGCCTGCCCTCCCCACCAGGGGCAGCCCCCTTGGCAGCCGGGGTCCAACCCATCCTCCAGGAGTGGGAGGGTCCTCGGCACTAAACTCCCTGGCACAACCTCTTCTTATGCCCTCGCCCCGTGACCTCCCACCGGGCTGCCCTCAGGCACCGGCACACGCCCCTTTGGGACGGCTGCACCCCCCAAAACGGCAATGCCCTCTGCGTGAGCCTCTCCCCGGGGAGGGGAAGCACCCCGAGGGCAGGGACGCTGACCGCCTCCCGCCTCAGACCACAAGCCTTCCAGAACCTTCTGCTGAGCCCAAGCGGGTCTGAAAACCTGTCTCAGAGGGATGGCCAGCCGCGGTCGGAGCAGAGCGCCTGCCGCCTTACCTCTGCCGGCCGCTGGGGA